GTTGAGTTTTTGTGGAAAATTGCCTATACAATGCGCCTTAATAAATGCTAGCTTTTATGCTATTGGATAACCTGATCATAATAGTTACCAATGATAAGTACTCACGTTGACGGTCTGCATGATTTTCGTTTTGTCTCGAGGAAACGACAATGGCTGCTCTGGAAATAAGTGTTGTTGTCGAATGTGATTGCTACGGTGTTTGCCGATCCTTTTATACTTAAAAACACAAAATGCTATTAGCCCCATATAATGTTATGGAGAAAAACAATTAATATACAAAACAAAAGGACATTTATATGTATAATGAAAATGTTTTTGACAAGTTACAAGTTATTAAGTACACAAGAAGGTACTTGCATATAGTTAACACAAACGAACATGTTTATCTAATAATATCGGCTCTAGGTTAAACCACGCTTTGGGCTAAACAACTTCTTTTGTGTAGTCTACTACTTGTTAATTACAATATAAGTACAAGTATTTGGAAAAATTCACTTAAAAAAAGTGTCGCTTACAGCAAGTACTGAGAATGTATTTTTTTGTTTACTAATTATGTGCATTATATTATTTTTTGTAAGCCACTCCCATAAAATATACTCCTTATAATCAATAAAATATTTTGATAATATTATTTTTTCTTACAATGTCATCTATTAATTTTTTATTTATTTAATGAAGTCACTTTAATATATATTCGAGATAAACAGGATACAATATTTTCATGTTTTTATAATACAGTTTGTAGTTTTGTAAAAAGAAAAAAGTTTTTTAGCTTAAAACTTTTACATCAATTATTTTAACATAATATTATTATATAACATTATTGGTTATAACATTTAATACAAAACAACCGTAGAGTTAAATAATTTTTGAGGAAGTTTTATAAGGGGTGAATTGAATGTGGCAGTCAAAAAGCCCGATTAAATTGTTTTAATGTTAAATACATCTATATATTTATTCGAGATTGAACTTATTTTTTAAATTTTATTTATGGCCCACGTAGAGATAGAATAGTAAGCATTTAATACAAATAAAAATTGAAATCTGTCCAATAGATAGTGACTTCTACTATAGTATTTTTATTTCTAAAATTGTAGCCATAATTTAAAAAAAAAACACTTGCCAAGTCGGAGTCCCCATGTAGACTTTCTTGATTTATAATTTTTGGAAAATTATTTAAAATATATATTTTATATTACTAAGCAATGAATTCAAAAAGTCTGAAAATTTAGGGGGGGGGGGTGTTTAAAGATAAACGACTTTAAAGCTTTATAGCGAATAGTTATATCAAATAAAGTTCTAAAACTCTAAAATTTGAATCCTTACATCGCATGGGTACGAAATCCAAACTACATGTATATTATCTTTTATATTTTAAGCCAAGACAAATATCTAGCTTCTCGCTATTAATGTGTGGCATTTTATGTTTTTTCCTTAAATTCACAACAAGCTCTTAAAGTTATCAATATACATTGTTTTTTTATTACAACTACCATACTTAGGTAGGTAGGTACTAGATTTTTTAAAAATCAAGTAAGTAAAACAAATGTACGCGTTTTATAATTGGACAAAACTTAATATTTACTTTCGATTAGTCGGAATAATATTAAATATAGTAAATATATTAAATATCTCTTGGATCGGTTTTTGCAAAGATTGCCTATCTTTTGCCCCTTAATAAATTATGCCCCTTTCCGTTTTCCTATTATTGTTATTGTTTAAAAGAGAAACATTTCAAGATTATAATATCCTCGATACATTATTTAGTATACAATTGGACCTTTGGCATATTTTAAATTACATCTATTGATTTGTCAATATCTATTAATTTGTGATTTAAACAGCTTTAAGCGCATATTTTTCAAAATCCCTATTTTCAAACTGTATGTTTTGATCTATTGACATCTCGTGACATGTAGGTTAATTAGGTTACTTAGATTTAAGTTCGTATTTTCGACAAATAAAAATTGTCTTATTAATAGTACATTATAATAAAAATTCCGGTATGATTGGTGTTTCATATGCTTTGACCGCAAAATTTGTACCTAATTTTAAGCTTGTTGCACCAGGTAAATTTGCATGCATGTTTTTTATTTCTACCGAATTGCACATAAGTTATAAAAAAAAACCGAAAACGTGATCTACCGACGATGGTAATATTCATTCCGTTCACGTTGGCCGTGCACATTTTATTATTAATACTATATTTATGTATATTTTAGTATAGTTCCGGCCGGAATAAAATAAATCGCTTTTTTAAGTGTTTCTTTTTTTAAAAAAATTTTTTTACAAACACACACACACACTATGCAATAATAGTCGAACAAGGTCAATCGGTCGTGTGACCAGTAGCATATATTATTTAGGTACTGTGAACCGCATTGCTGCGTTTCCGAAAAACCGGAAAGTTTGGATTTTCAACAATATTAACATTATTGACACACATACCGGAAGTTACCGTAGGTTCTTATTATCCATACGGTCGGACGAATTTTTTTTTTTTTGTATCTATCGTTTGCTTTTTATGTTCAAGTAATTTCTTAATTTATAACAGTAATAATATTTTATTTTTCATCGTTTAAAGTTAAAATAAACATATACAATATACTAGTTTAACAAGTCTATTGATCAGAACTCGTACCTAAATGGTGTTCAATCGAGCCAAAGAATGTACACTTTTCGACTTTTTACGGTATATATTCTTTACGTGATAACATAGTGACCATCGACAACATTTGACAAACCAAAATTCTATTAAAAACCTTTTCCCCGAAAAAGGAATGGGCAATGGCAACTATTTCTTATTTCTCTTTTGTATAGGTGTGGTTTTTGAGATTAAGCACCGAGTGTAGATCTAGAGTGGGTCAATAACGGATACCCACGATTCTTAAACATCTTTAAACGTGTGTCGTTTTTATTAAGAAAAATTAAATAAATTAGAGAGGAAATTACTCTTTTACCGTAGTTCCTTTGTATAAACAAACCCTTGTATAAAACTAAAATATTGCAAAGATATTATGTTTGCCTTGACAATGCTTGTAATTAGACACTTAGAGCATTGATCAATATAACTGCTAATTTTTTTTCTCATCGAAGTGATGTAGTCAACTTGCTCAATCGCCAAATACGGCGCTTGCCGGTTTTTCGTTACTAGCTGATTACCATTGAGGTGTTAATTTAAATTTGTTCTCTTATATCAGAAATTATAATAATATAATCCGCGGGTTTCACAATGTGTTATTACGATGCGAATACTTTTATGTAATATCGGTTTTACTGTAATATGTTTTAGTTGATAAATTAATAAACGAAAGTGCACAAATTAGGTGTAATATACCGATTTCACTTTGATCCTACGTGCGATGGCGAATATATTGTGGCAGAAGATAATAATCGCTTTTCCTACTTAATAATAATATATATTAAAATTTCTCATCACCGTAATTATTGTGTAAAATAAAAATAATATCATTATCGAAGCATAACTAAACAGTTCAACCGCTCTTATTAATAATTATTGTTCACAGACCACTGCGGGTGAAACCATCAAAACAGTCACTGGCAGTATAATATAAATATTTTTTTCAGTGTAATACCGCTTTAGTTGGTGTCAACGGTGTAATAATAGGTAATTAGTATTTTCCATTAATTATAATATATATGTATTTATACAAAAAGAAATCTGAACGTTAAACTACAACTACGATTAAAATATTACTCTAGGACTAGTGTGATAAGACACTGAGCGCTTTGCTAAATGGTACATCATATGGATCATTAATATCGATTATAATCTTATAGGTATTAAATTAGCAAAGATGACACCAGACGTCATGCCGACAGGAGGGTCGGCCAAATTAGTTCAGGCCTACTTAAACCAGTAAGAACGCGGTTCGGTCATTAAATAGGGCCGAGAGGAAGCAACGTAGCAATTACAAAGTAAATTAACTAACATTTAATAACCATTTTTCCTGAAAATTGTTTTATTTATTTTATTTCAGTCAAAAACTTCTTCTTCTTCTTTCTTAAATATACAAGCCATAATGTACTTACATACTTGTAGTACAAATTTTATAAATTATTAACAAACTAACACAGCGCCCTCAATGAATCACCCCGCACCGACTGATTATGTATATACATTTTTTTATTATTCATGGGTATTTTTTATTCGAGAATGTGGTTACTGTATACTCTAAAATCATTGTGCTAAGCTTCTTCTACATTACACTACTATACTCATGACTCTTGGGGTACTCAGTTAGAGTCACATAGCAACCGATTTGTCACCAAAACAATTTGTCATTCCGGATTTCCGTTAACACACTTTTTTTTTTAACTTTATTATAATTGAAAGTGTTCAATTTCGATTGTACACTTTAAATCTAAGAATGGTAGAAATGTTAAATGTGCATAACAGCATTTTAAAGGCAAAAATGTGTTTGAAATTGTTTTTTTTTTTCTAGTATTAGGGCGGATACGATAAGGGTTGATCGTCTGCTCCCTTGTTAACAACTCGTTGCCGGTGTTACCGATATAGTTAAATTAACATCATGATAAAAATATTTTTTTTTTTTAATACCTTTTGACTGTACCTGTTTCGTTCGCACATAGCAACCTAGAAATTAACTTTGGACAAGATTTATGACTTAAGATGGGCGAGTCAGTCTTTTTTGAACTTTTCCTTAGTTTTCGGCCGAGTGAGGTACATTCTGTATACACATCTCGTACAATTTCTAACAACAATAATAGAGTACCTAATGATCGTTATGGATTTATCGGGAATCGACGGTTTTCCACGACGTGTACGACCGTGTGTTATTGTATAATTATTATTATTATTATCATTATTGTATATGTGCTATGTGCAGGTATACGTGCAGGCGTTCGGAAACCGGTGAAAGGATGTTGCTGCCATTGGTCGCAGACGGTACACGATAATTACCGTAGGGCCACACTGACCCGAGAGCCGGTCTTCCAAGTCTCCGAAGAACACCGATGAGATCCAGCGGATCGCTTTCGCGTGTCAGTGTTGTGGTGTTCGCGCGATCCGTTATCTTTGAAACCGCACAAGACAACACACAAACCCGCACACGTATAAGCAATTTTTGCATTTACACCGTTCTCGCCGCGGTAGTGCAATTTCAATATTTTGTTTTGGATAGTTTTTCAGTTTTCTTTTTTTAATTTAAACTTTTGTGTTTTTTGTGCTGCACAGTGGTGGCCGCCGTTTAAAACAGCCCGACAATTATTGCCGCCATGAGGATTTTACCGTACGTGTTCCTCCTGTTGATGGGTAAGTCGATTTTCACTTAAAATATAGACATTACATGACGATAGAAGTGTTTGAAACCGTCTAAGTAGTATAAGACGACGATAGTATTTCTAAAATGTTTGCACGTTACTGCATTTTTTTTTCTTTTATTCTGCTACACGGGATATTGTTTTGGTTGAACTACCAAATATAAAATTCTACTCTAAAAGTTGTGTCGAAAAAAAAAAACGTTTCTCTCCTACGTAGCCTTGTTTTATGCGAATAGCTTCACTGCTGTTTTGGGAGGGTCTCATCGCTGTAGTTAGGTTTAGAGCTGTTTATGTTGGACAAACAAGAGATTAACCTAAAGAAACTGCGAGATACTATATTTTTCGAGTATACAGGGCGCCTCGTTAAAGACGAGACACTCATTTTCTCATAAAATAATAACAGTTATAAAGTCTTATTCTTTTTGAAGACACTTTAATTTGTTTTATTTTACAATATTGAGTAATATTTTAATTTCAATTTTTCTGTCAACTTTTAAAACTTAAATGTAAAAAAACGTATATGTAGTGTGTACAATTGACATTTTGAATTTAGATAATTTGCCGACAAATTTTGTCAAAGACTGGTTACAGATTTAGGTGGGAGGTGTAGGCGCTTCCTCTCATCCTAAATGTTAAACTTAAATTACTCAAAAAGTAACTGTCCAAAATCGGACAGTTGTTCTTGATTAAAATAGGACAATACATAATTATGATTTGGATTTCTTTATGATTTTTTTAGCCAGATTAAAATATGATTTATACACACATTTTTTCTTTTATTGGTACTGTAATTGTTTTTTATACATTTTTGCAAGTTTATTTATCCTGTACTCTATTGCCGTTTGGGCGTAAATTATTTTAAATAAATAAATAACTTTAATGAATCACCCTGTACATAGACAATACCAAATAATACCCGACACAGTCGTTTGCCGGGTTTCAAAAAAAAAAAAAAACACATCGAGTAGACTCGAAGAAAACTCGTTTTATCTTTTAAACAAATATTTGCTTTGCCGAGCATGGCCGCTGTCGCGTGGCCGTTGGAAAAAACTTTCCAAAAAAACGGTTTTGCTTAGAATTAATGTAGATCGAGTTGGCCAGTATGAATTTGAATAATTCACCGAATTCCTGAATCACCTAACCTAACCGTCTACTTTATTAGCCCGAACCGGCTGTGCCTGTGTTCAACCGACCGGAATACTTATAAGTAAATCCAAATAGCCGGATATATTATAATGAGCATACATATTAAAAAAGCCGAGCTAACACTATGGTTACCGTTGAAACGCGTCTCGCTGGTATCGACTTTGTGATTTACTAAGTGTTCAGTGAAATGAACACACTTAAACGGCGTTTGACTTGAGTAAAATATTAATATATAATATTCTCTTTGGCGGCCGTCGAGAACGCGGCGTTGACTTCGTTATGATAATAATATTACAACAGTAATACTGCACAAATTGACTGAAAACTAAATAAAACCAGAAAAAATCATAACGTTATATTTTAACGGTTACGTTTATAAATACATAGGTATATATATACAGTTATTCCGATTATATAGTTTAATTAATCGTGTAGTAAAAAATAAATTTACACATATTAATATTTTCACCGCACATTTATAAATCATTCGTGTAGAGTATGTATTATAATATTGTCTGGGAAAAAAAGTCCTTTACGGCAATAACATATTATAATATGTATTTGACTAATTCGATTCTGTCGAACTTAATGATTAACTTTCTACGTTTAATAATTAAAAATATTGTAAGGTTTTGTTTTTTTTTTACTTTCCCCGTATGACTAATGAGTGAATTATAATAAAAAAAAATAATAATATTTAGTAATTACTCGGGTTCAGCTAAGAAAGACACTAGAATACATTTTATGCTTCTTTTTTTTAATATTTTTACAGCTTGTCAGTAAATTAAAGAGATATCTTAAAATTGTGCCAATATTGTATTTTTTGTTTGTATAAATTCATGGTGATCAATTTAACGCGAAAGATACTCAATTTCTCGAAGAGTAATATTTTGTAGTTTTTTGTATATATTTGGATTTTGTAATTAATAAATATTTATTTTTTTTTTAGTATTTTCCAGAGCTCAATCATTTATTTTATTTAAAGTGGTAATCTATACATTTATTTAATTATTTCAATTAAGAATAATTTGCTGACAATTTTAACTGGTCGATAACCAGGTTTGGACAATTTATTTTTAAAGTCATTAATATTTAAAATTTAAAACTGAATAATGGGTGGAGTATAGTTTTATTTTTTTACTGCCACTCTCCCACTTCCCATCCTAAATTTTAAACTTTTGCAACTTCAAAATTAATTATCCAAAACCGGTTATTGACCAGTTAAACTGTTCAGAAATGCATTAATAATTTTTAAAGTTAATTAAACATAATAAACTTTAGCGTTTAAGTTTTAAAAGTCAATAGAGTTCTGGAAAATAATTAAAGAGATGACAACTTGTATATTATCTTATATTGTAAAATAACGTCATAACAACTAAAGTGTCTCTCGAAAAGAAAATTGGTAAGAAAATTGCGACTATTTTTAGAGAAATTGAGTGTCTCAATCTTTAATGAATCAGCATGTCCATATTATATACACCGGCAAAGTACCAACATGTGTGGAATAAATGTATATAATTATAAATAATTTGTCAATATTAAACCGCCAACAAGTTGACGGATTTTTCAATTTAAAATTGCTTTTTTAGGCGTTTTCCCGCAAAACGTTTTTGCCCAAATAAAATCTTACTTTTCTTGTTTGAACTGTCGTATTGACTAGTAGAGTCAAACGTAAGGAGTTCGTGCTTGACTGTAATCGTTAAATTTTTTAGTAGTTTAAGTATTGATTTGTTCGGAGTACACATTTACCATTTGATCGTTGACGCAAAACAAAGTCAAAACACGGTGCTTTAACAAGGTTTTTTTTAATATATTTTTTTTTTTTTACTTTTGTGATGTAAAGCACTGAGCTCGGCTGTACAGTATAATATGGATTTGCTTTCTTACTTGGCGATGCGTTCATTTAGCTATGTGATAGCTCCACGGGTGATATCATTTTATTGTTTAAAATGCAACTGTACGTTGTATAATAATATAATATACGGTTGCATGTTAATAATTTTATCAATTATTATCGTTCACGGGTATATTATTTTTTTTTTTTTTTAACGGTAAACCAAAATGGTAATTTCCACTGGAATTGAGTCATGTACATTAGAAAGTCGTCGTCCAGTTGAATCATACACGGCGGTCGCGTGCTTTAACGTAACATGGGAGCAAGTACTGTTACTTGAGTATAATATATTCAAATCATGTGAACACAATAGTATGATAATATTACAATATCGTTTTGCTGCAAACCGCCACGATTCAATTTAACAAAAATTATTGAAATGACATTTTTTGTTTTTCATTTTGTAGAACGTGAGAGAACACCTCATTGTTCGCAATGGCATAGACCTTGGAGATGTCAATCTTCAACAATAATAATTATAATATACACACTATCATAACACTGACGCATGCAGCAGGCAGGCCTCTTTTGATGTAACAATTTATAGATTATTTAACCGTTTCACTAAATGTTGAGCCCTTCCTCGTAAGTCTTATATGCTATTAAACTTGTTTGAGTAAGTTCATATTTAATTTTAAAAAAATAATAATAATCAGACGTAGAAGAAGTATTGAGAAATACAAATGAGGACCCTAGAAGTCGAGAGGTTTATTTTTTTTAAGAAATAAACAATGTCTTTTTCAGTATGTAAAATACATGACAATATATATTATTAATATTCGTTAATTTTTTTTATTCAAATAGTATTTATTAAATATCACTATTTAAATAAATAATAATAATAACCATGAAAGTAAAAACTATAAATACCCCTAACGTAGGTATTTTACATTTCATTTTTTACTTAATTTATAATTAGGCTAATTATTTTTACAAATTGTATTAAATATAATTTATCGAAGTATCAATTACCTATAGGTATTATCGTCATGCATTATAATATTTACAGGGTGATCATTTTATAGTGAATTACTCAATATCTCATAGGGTTTAAAAAGAAATAACATTTTTTATTTTTCATATTGTGTTATACAATGTGATCTCAATTTTTCACAATTTTTTTTTTGTTTTTACTTCTAACTTAGTTTTTTTGATAGCAACCTTTAAAACTCAAATGGTAACGCATACATTTCATTGACTTTTTTAATTGAGAATTTAGAATGTACTACAAATTTTGATATTCGATAACTAGTTTTGGATAAACTATTTCTGAAGTTATTAAATTTATTTAGGGCAGGAGGGAAGGTGGAATGCAGTATTATTTTTAATTGCGCGCACTTTTCAACCGTACTTTCCTTCCCATCCTAACTTTTAAACTCTTATAACTTTCAAAAGAGTTGTTCAAAACAGGTTATTAAACAGTCAATATTTTTAGTATATTATTCTAAATTTAAAAAGTCAACGAAATATATGCGTTACCATTTAAGTTTCAAAAGTTGCTATCAAAAAACCAAGTTGAGAGGGGGATAAAAACAAAAAAAGATTGTGAAAAATGTAGACGACATTGTATAAAAACAAGATGAAATTTTAAAAAAATGTCTTATTCAACTCTATGAGGTATTGAGTGGTTCACGCTAAGATGATTACCATGTATTTTGTTAACTATAAATAAATGATATTTTCTTTGTTACGGTTTATTAAACTTTGCCATTGGCTAAGCTTACCTATATTGCGGTTTCGGAATAAGCGTCTACGCTTAAACCAAATATCATGCTGACTGTTAAGTGTTTATTGTTTGTTTTTACTTAAAGTTAAGTTTTCCGTACTTCTTAATAAAATATTACTTTTAAGTATACTCGTTTTCTAACTACTCTAAACAGGCCCGGGGGGAGCATCTATCCCACATATCCGTTCGGATGAAAATCAAAACCGACAATTATATTATTCTGGTC